AAGACTTGTAAGCATGTGTGTGTCTTTTAAGCAGTGTTTGTTCCGTGATTCATTACACACACAGAAAAGGGAAAAGAGGAATGTGTACTATGTGCTGCAATGCAACTCACTCAGAACCACAATCCCAGAACTATGTGGAATGTGTCCTCTAACTGCCAGTGACTGAAACCTACACTCGTTGAACAACTGCAGTACACAGTCAGTGGTCGTGTACTGTCACTCCGAATCAAAATCAAGTGCAGACCGTTACACAGGTACAGCCAGAGAGAGAGAGAGAGAGAGAGACAGAGAGAGAGAGAGAGAGAGAGAGAGAAAAGATAGCTGAACGGTGTTGCTGTCTGAGACCCAGAGAGAGTATTCATACAGGCACATAGGTGTAAAGACTGCTTTCATATTGCTTCTCATCCTGACACACACACACACACACACACACACACACAGATGTTGAGTATAAGGAAGACATGTTCAAAACATTTACGCATCAGGATTTTATTTACACTTAGTATGATGCTATGAAATATTAAGGACATATTCCTGATTTTGAGTTGAAGCCACTGCCATTCACATGTCTTAAACCTCAAAGGATCAGTTCAAACACTTCCCACTTGTGGTATGCAGCCATGCAGATGATTTGGGTTTCATTTGCAGGTGCCCCTGTTACTCAGCATAATCTGAACACGAATCCACACATCGATTTGTGTGTTCCGCCATCAAGCAGCGCCGCTACTGCTGTGGCGGCAAGTCGTAGTGACTGCCTTAGGCAGTGGCCCCCACCGATCAAGGTGACTCATATGGATGGCAATCTTAACATTATTCAAATTTTACATATTAGTGAGACATTTGTTACAACAATAGCCAGAAAAAAAGGAGCAACCATCCGCCACATTTCAAGTGATATACTGTGTAATATGGTACTAGCTTGCAAGCTTTTATATTAGTAAAAACACGGATAACTTTTTTATATAGTTATTCAAGATTCATAAATTAATCGCCTGGCATGCATCTTGGTCCTCTGAATTGATGTAACGTGTACAGCCTCAGACAGGGACATTCTTCATGAGGTAAAGGCTTGTGTGTTCCACATTCAGTTTTTTATGCAATGTTACATAGAAAGTAAAGACAAAAGTAGAAAATTGTAAACTTCTTTGGACAGCTTGCATTCAAATGTGCATATACTGTAGGGCAATGTCACCGCAGTAATGGTGACTTATTTATTTCCCGTTCTTCCCTTGGTTGGTGAAATGGACCAGCTGCCCACAGTTTGTCACTGGAACTACCGTCTACTTAAGAAATGGTCCTAATGAAAAATATTGATGGCTAGGTCAGGGACATTGTTTCTGCAGAGACACATTCTGACATGTTTCTATTAAGTTTTCAAATGTCAATTTTTAGAGTTTTAAACAACACAAACAAAATTCCCTTCACCTTTATTGAACTGAACTTTTTGGAAACTGATATTTCACCACCATGTTGCACATCCAAACTGAATGAGACTATGTTTTTATTTATTATTTGGGTCGACTGATCCTTTAAAATATCTATTCATTAATTAATCAAAGAGTACAGTCTAAACCTGCTCTATTTGAAAAGTGTCCCGAGATAACTTCTGTTATGGAATTGAACTGAATTGAATCGGTTTCTTTGACATGTTTCTCTTTACCTGCATATCCTCTTTTGTAAAGGGTACAGACTAAGGAAATTAATAAGTCATAACAGCTTTAGCCACACCTTCAGCATATTCTGTGGAGTCAGCTACCACACTTTATGCAAAAAAGGATATACAAGGAGAAAAGCAACAGTTTAGTTTTTGAAAGGCGACGTTATTAACGAGCCTCCTCGTTATTGCGCCGCTCACCTGCTGTTGTGACAACAAAATCGCAGGTGAAAACATTCAAAACCTGAGTTGTGTTTCTGCTGACCAACAACGTGAACAGAGCAGACACATTCAGCCTGTATATGGAGAGAGGAGCAGAGAGTGCGTCTGTGCGTACACTATAAACATAATGCTTGAAATAGACCCAGTGATCGATGATCGGTATCAGCCGATACTGCTTCTAGTGATCAGTGATCGGCCTCAAAAACCCTAACTGGAGCGCCGTTAGTGGTACTTTGTTTGGTTCACTTCATACTGTAAACCTATATCTTTATTCTGCATTTAATGTAGAATATCTAAAATAGATTAGAAAATTTTGTGATTTTCCTGATGCAAGACTTTTATCACACTAATTTTTTTTATCTCCAAGTCCTACATCACCAGATGAAAAATCTGCAATATACTACACTGGCGAGGCAGAAAAGTTCCCAAAATGCGTTTGTAGCAAGGTTACACCACACGAGTCAAGATGCTTATTGCGCGCACGCATGCACGCGCGCACACACACACACACACACACACCAGTGAACAGAGATGCATAGAGCTCCTCTACATCTACATGGGCAAGACGCCAGAGGCCTGTGTCTGCAGGGGTCCTTTCTGAGGTCAATACTACAACACTGTAAACTAATGATCCAGCAAATTCCCTCAGTCCTGTTTCTTCCCCTCCTCCTTCTTTCCCTCAATCTGTTGTTGCCCTCAGTCTCTCCCACTCTCTGATCCCCTGCTGCGCTGCAGAAATGAGAAACAACTGAAGACTCGGCAGCGCTGGGCCTGCTCTGCTTCTCTGATACACACCACTGATAAGCAAGGATGCTTGTTAAGAGTCAAATGAAACTCTGCCTCGCCTGATATTTGCCTTTCACTGTGTTTTGATCTGGTGTTTTCTTGTCACCCAGTCCTTTCTTTTGTCTGTGGCTTTGGCATTAACACCCAGTGGAACACCACTCCTGCCTCGAAATGTAAACAAAGATAATGAAATCACCTACCACAACATGGATTTCTACATTGAATGTGACGCCAAACAGTATGATGGAAAAGTAAGAAGGAGCTGTTTTGATTTCATAAAACACCTCTATCTAGATCAGCACACAAGGACCTATATATGAGATCATGTGCAAACATCTTTTTAAAAAAAACACTACTGAACAGAAAATGGCATCTACGTGGTTAGCTGTTAATTTGATCAAAAAATATGGTTAATTTACAATTAATAAACATGCTTTATTAATGGCTGAACCTGTGCTCAATAACACAAAAAAGTAACAAAGTTTGGGTAGATGTTTCCTTCAAGGACAGCAGGCATAATCCACTTATACGCCACGTTAACACAGCATGTCTGAAAATGCAAAAACACTATGGTATTCTTCTGTATTCTACCAACAGAAAAGCTAGTCACATACATGCTGACACACACTTCACACACATGCTTCACATAGAGTCTCTTCCAGGCCTGGAGGAAGCTTCTCATCTCTGCCTCCATCAGTGCATGCAATAAGTCAGCGATAGAGCCACTCTGTTCAGTCCTATCCTTTTCATATCGATTGGGGATAAAGAATTGGGCCCAAGGGATGGAGCTGAACACTCAATCACGCTGTTGACAAACATGAGTGAACTTGATTCAAAAGACACAATAAAGTAGGAGCAGCAGAAGGGAGTAGAAGTGAAATGATTAATCTAGCCTTTTATGAACACAGCGCAGGACAAATACCCTTAAAGGACTGGCAACAGCTGAAAAAATACCACTTACATGCAATGGCTCTGTATGTTTTTCTTTGTTGTGTCATACAAATACTCTCTCCCTCTCTAAATCCCTCATCGGCTGCAGAGAGGCAAACTGGCCCTACATGTTTTTGTCTGTTAACGGGCAAAGGAACATTATCAATAAAGACATGCTTCTCCTTCCCAGCGGGCGCTGATCTACGATCCCTGCCCACCGACCATCTGACTCTCAGCATCCAAAAAGTACCAAGGTTGAATGCAATGGGGGCTTCAACTGAAAGCACTCTTGAACAGGATCATCTCTGTGCATCTAGTTTAGGAACATCTGAATTTAGCTTTGGTTTTCAAATCTCATGCATTACAGCACATACGATGTTGCAAAGTAGCACAAACAGATGATAACTGCATATATGGATTGTACATTTAATTAGAACTTTAGGTAGACAACCTGAGTGGATGGGACTGTGTCCTCTCTATTTAATTGTCACTGACCTCTTCACCTCCAAAACTGCCTTAACTTTACAATGTAAAAAGCTTTTAGTTTGATAAGGAAAAAGCCTAATTAATTCCAATTCTTGGATCAAACTATCCTCTGTGAACTCTGTCAAGCAGCAGCCATGACAAGCTTTTCTATTAAAAACGCGGATATGTAAACAGAAACTGCCGTGCACCCTTTCATACATGACAAACTGCCGACTGTCGGCGTCTCGCAAAGACAACACGACCGTCTGCTGTCACAAATCTCATCTGTCTGTAGCAGTGGCGGTGACTGGACCCAAGGAGCAAGACAGCCTCTTTGAAAAGCGACACCTCCAAAACACACACAGCGGCTTGTGAGCGGCCAAATGCGCGGACTTTAGTTGCCGCTTCCACCGCCGACGGACGGTCGAGTTCCGCTCCGCATGTTTACAAAAAAACTGCTTCATTTCCACTCAGTCGGAACAGTTAAATACACATGTAAAAACACACATAAGCGTCATGTAAAACTGCGAGTGAACGTTAAAAAAAACCAAAAAAAAAAAAAAACAGTTCGGAATGAAACGAAATAGACAACAAGCGCAGAAATGCCAAGACTTCACCATATGTTTGCTGGATTTCAGAATAAAAAACGTCTTGAACCTGAAATTAAGCAGCGAAGCAGAAACTGCGGGTTCCATTGGAACCTACTTTGTCTAATTACAGTAAAAAAAAAAAAAAAAAAACCCTCAGACAAAATGTTTATCTTTCTTCTAATAAATGAAGCAGTCAACTTTCCAAGCCTTTCCAGAGCGCTGAGCAGAGAGCCCCATGCCGCTGAGTGTAGCGCCGTGTGCCCTCCCCTACCGCAGCTCCGTGTGTGACTGCCCCCGGCCGCTCATGAACTTCCCTCGCAGCCGCGGTTTCCTCCCCCATAAATAAAACTTACTTTTCTCTGGCTTGGCTGTCGGACGGCACGTTGCTACTCTTGCCTTTGGCGTACATGCTTGCAGAGAGCTCCGATTGTCACGCACCTGTCAACCCATCACAACCTCCCTGGGCACAGCCCCGTCACCATGGTGACACAAGCAGCGTCGTCTCCCATTGGATGCCCCGCTGTTCGGGACCGCCCGCTCGCTATGGCAACCGCCAGTGAGTGACAGCTGCGTGGCCACGCCCCTGCCGGAATAGCTCCACCCTCCCCGTCTCTCTCTCTCTCTCTCTCTCTCTCTCTCTCTCTCTCTCTCTTTCCTCCACTCTGCTCTTTCCCTCTGCTTACCCAGTCTGTCTGTCTGAAGGCTGTCTGTCTGTCAGTGTCTCTCCCATCCTATCCCTGATTGTAAAGGCTCTCCTGACATGCAGACAGACTGACATAGGCCTACACACACACACACACACACACACACACACACACACACACACACACACACACATATATAAACACACACATCCGCACTCCCTCCCTCTATTTTCCTCTCTCAGTGCAAGGGGGGGATTTGAAACCGTCCAACTAGGATTTTAAACAACTGGCTTCGGCTGTTCCTTTTATAGACAATCACACCCTCTACCGATGCACACACAGCGCACTGCGCAAACAACTCTCGCAAATATGAACCGCATTTGCATTGGTGTTTATTTACAAAGGTGTTAAGATATCCAAACGTGTAGAGCGGAGCATGTTGGGAACAGGCGAGCACTACTGAGGGCCTGTAAACAACAGACCCAGCATGCACAGGGTGCACTGTGGGAAGATGTGGCCACATTAGAAGCCTTCCTGTACAGGCATATATATGTTTGAAGCACGGCTACTGTGCAGCTGCTCCACCACCAAGAGGAAATGTTTGTGATACTGCACTGTGGGATGAATGCAGTGTGGAAGTGTAAATGATGACCTGTCAGAGTAACTGATACATATGAGAGTTTGATGAACAGTTAAAATCCCCTGATGGCCTCACACTGTATGAACCAACCCTTCACTAGTGATATGAACTGCTGATGATCACAGGAATGTAGATTTACAGTCCTGCTTTAGAGGTCATGATGGCTGTAGAAACATACAGTGTTCTTCACATAAAACTGTGTGTGTGTGTGTGTGTGTGTGTGTGTGTGTGTGTGTGTGTGTGTGTGTGTGTGTGTGTATGCATGTGTATTTTGGATATGCAGCAGGAAGAAGTGCTACGTCATGCTGCTGTCCAGTCTGGCAGCAAACAGAGAGGAGGGTTCACTCCACTGTCACGATGTACTTATTGCAAATCCGCGGAGAGAAAAGAGCACAAGAGAAAAGAGATGGACCACAGCTTGGTGCCATGCAGGATCTGAAAAACAGTACAGACTGTCGTACAAAACGGCTGATTCCCAGACAGTAGTAAGCTCTCGAAAGACACAGTGTGTATGTGTTTGTGTGTGTGCGTGTGTCTGTGAGTGTGTGTGTGTGTGTGTGTGTGTGTGTGTGTGCTAAGGGCATAGCACAGGGGCAGCAGTGTTTACGCTTACGCAATGCTCCCGTGATGTGACCCAGTTGGAATGGATGCACACTGCCTCATTCTCTCCTGCTCTCTCTCTCTCTCTCTCTCTCTCTCTCTCTCTCTCTCTCTCTCTCTCTCCCTCTCTCCCTCACTCTCTCCCTGCCTCCCCATGTGCAAAATGAACCCCCTTCCCCCTGGAGAGAGGCGGAGGTTCTATTTCAGACAAGCAGAACTTTTGGTTTTGGGATGAGTCCCTCGGGGTCGATCACCATGACAACCACTAGCAGGCGATAACCATGTGTTCCAGAGGATGGCAGAGGAGGAGGAGGAGGAGGAGGAGGAGGAGGAGGAGGAGGAAGGATGAGAGAAAGAATGAGGAAGATATATATCTATCAAGAGAGAGAGAGAGAGAGAGAGAGAGAGAGAGAGAGAGAGAGAGAGAGAGAAGATGTAAAGGTTTGCAGGTCATGTTACGTAAAAAGTCAAATCAGATCAAATATGATCTGACTGGATCACTTGTTTGTTGTTATGTTCCCAGATGATTCAGGTAATATCATCATATTCATGGATTCAGGGATCTGCTATGATCCTTATTGTCACCAGTAAAAGTATAGATAGATAGATAGATAGATAGATAGATAGATAGATAGATAGATAGATAGATAGATAGATAGATAGATAGATAGATAGATAGAAGTGGTGGAGGCTGACCTCTTTTAACAACTCGGTGCTCCAATCCTCACAGTGGTAATGAACAGTTAGCCTCTGCTGAGTGCGTAGATTAACTTTCCTTCCCCCCTTTGTTTCTCCATCGTTCTTCTCCCTCTTTCTTCACTAATTCACTTTCTTTTCTGGGCCTCTGGTTTTCAGCGACCTCCTTATTTACTTATTTAATGTCTGCAAATTTTTACATTGACATTACCAGCTGGTGAGGAACGGTATTTCAAAATCAAGGAACGTCACCAAAGCAGAAAGAGAAAAAATAGTTGAATAAAGCCTCAGTTTGACATAAAATGTATGAAGAGCAATAATGACAAGTGACTAGTTTTCATTTGCCAAACAAAAATGCCAAACCCTTAACTATTCAAATGTGCAATACTGAGCTCTTTCATGTTTCATATCATTGTAAATTAAAATGTTAGATTTGAATACATCAATAGTATTTCCCCTTTGTTCACTCCTTCCGGGTGGGATGGTGTGATGACCTCTGTTGTACTGCAGGGGGCCAGAGTCTGATCATAGTAGATCACTTCAACCTCCATTCTTTCCCCAAGGAAAAGAGGTAGTACAGAAGTAGAGTTAATGGTGTGAAACCTGTCTTACTGACTGATAAACTTGGCGACAGTTCGGCTGGCTCGTTGACCAACTGGCTGACTGACTGTCTGATGGATTGACTGACTAGCAGGTTTCCCAGCTGGCTGGATGCCCGCAAGGCAGGCTGGCGGAAGGCTGTAGATGTGCTCCATCACAGGGGACTTAGCTCCTTTCCCATTGACTGTGGCACCATGTAATGTGTGGGCCTGTGGTGACAATCAAAACTAAGCCCCAGCATGTTACACTCCATCACTGAAAAACACAACTGCAGTCATGAGAGCAAATGATGTAATCCGAGAGAGAGAGAGAGAGAGAGAGAGAGGCAGAGAAGAGTGAGAATGAGACAAAAGAGACAAATCATCCTATTCATTTTTCTTAATCTTATCTCAGATTATGCAGCAAACGTTTTCTCTTGTATTAGTTCTACCACTGTTTCTTTCTAGCTCCATCTGTGTATATAGAAAACCGTGTGTATTTCCTCTTTCTCATGAGCCTTAACCCCTTGAAATGTCACTGGTGTACAAGATAGAAAGAGACGAGTTCTGGTGATTGCAGCTCTGTTTGTCTTACCCAGTGGTGGAAGAAGTACTTAGATCCTTTACTAAAGTAAAAGTACTACAGTGTAACAGTACTCCATTACAAGTAAAAGTCCTGCCTTTAAAATCCAGTCTTATCTGCAAAATATACTTGTATCAAAAGTAAAAGTGCTACTTCTGCAGGGAAATAGCCCCTGTTAGTGTTACATTACAGCATTTTACTGTTGTATCTGGTCAAGGTTTTGCTCTTTTGAACTACTTTGCATACAGTTTGGTATTTTAGTTCAGTGGTTCCCAACCTAGGGGTCAACCCCCCTCCAAAGGCTCACAAAATAGAGAGAGTTTGAGAGATGATTAATGGTATTAATGATACATTTTTTTGTAATTATTCACTATTCTAAGCTTTTTCTGTGAAATAGTTGGACCATTATACAGCTTTTGGCCTTAAACAGTTATTTCAATGAAATGTTTAGAAAGGAGCACGTCACTGTCTGGTGAAACTATTAACAACTCATTGACATATATAACGTAAGCGGCCCAAACTAGATACTGATTTTTTGTAAAGGGTCACAGGACAAAAAGTATTTTTAAAATGAATTGTGTTTTTAGAATATAAACAAATCTTAATTTAAAGAGCAACCAGTGGCTATAGCTGTCAAATATAGTGGTAGTATTTCCCTCGAAAATGTAGTATAGAAATGGTATTAACTTACTTAAATATAGTACTTAATGTACTTGGTTATTTACTCCGGACACTGGTCAAAAACAACATGCCTTTCTGTCAGATAACATCACTCCTATTGCCCACCCTCCTCTCCTCCATCTCTTTTTCTTCCTCCTTCCTTTTTCTCTCTTTCTGTCTCTCAGTCCACCCACCAGGTCCTTTCTCTCAGTTTTGCAGCGCCAAGCCATCTGCCTGAGGTCATCTATTCCAGGCTGTCTAGACCATGGACTCCCAGCACTGTCACTTACAAACTAACCAACATGTTCACTTGAGTCTGGTTAATATGCCATCACTGTGAGTTGCAGAGTAAAATCAAAATGCGTCCAAGAATCACACTCCTCCTTTGTTTTCCTCCCTGTCTCTCCTGTGTCTCACTTTCTCTGTTTTCTTCAGTCACTTGTTCACACATAAATACACGCACACTTACATACAACAGGCTGCACACGCATATACACAAACAAATGAAAGATTTGCCCCTCTCCAGCTTTGCAACAACTGCTTTGGCATTTTGGCAAACAGCCTTTGTTTACTGAGCCTGTCGATGGGCTATGTAATCGTATATTTCCACTGAGAGTGTCTGTTAGCAAGGACGCTAATTAGCAAACGATTAAGCACTCACACAAAAGAGGTTCTTGAGATTAATTGGCGCTGAAGTTTACAAAAGCTTGTGGCTCAGTAAATAATTTAGCATGAACAATAGTACACCTTGTCACGCTGTGTTTTTGTTCTCAGATGAGTAATTGTTGGTGTCAGGACTAAGGATATATCACAGCTCGACAATGGATCTCTAAAGTGGACAATGGAGTACTATACACGATGACAGCATATGTCCCCTTTTATTTCATTTATGTATTTCATTCATGTTCAGTCTAAATAAAGACAGAACATAATCATCATTAGCATATGGTAAAGAGGCATTGTCTTGCATGACAATACTCCTCTGTTAATTTACTTCACGCAGCCCATGTAGCTGCTGTACCCGCTGCATGTATGAGGGCTTTACATCAC